ACCAGGACTGAACCAGGACTCACCCGTGTCTGTCCTCTTCTCTCGCTCTTGGACTCTGCTCTGGTCCGGTCTTGATCCTGGACTTTGAAAGGTCCTACTTTGAGTCCTGGTTTGGTTCTTGGTCTGGGCCGGCCTCTCGTCCGCTCGTATGAAGCTCCTCTTCTCGTTCGCCGCCGTTTTCCCGCTCTGCGATTGGCCGTTTCCCCTCGCCGGCCCCGCCCCCGCCCCGGCCGCCCCCGCCCCGGCGCCCGCCACGCCGCCCCCGCGCCCAGCCCCGGCCGTCGAAGTTCCTCCTCTGCTGCTGCGCCTTCACGTGGTTCGCTTTGGCGCTGTACATCCTCGCCAACGTCTGGACTTTGTTTAAAATCCGCTCCGAGTTTTCCAGGAGGACGGGATCGACGACGGGGCTGGCCTCGAACAGCCCCATCCTCTCCACGTCCGACGCCATTCCCTCGAAGAGAGCGCGGTTCGCCGACACGATCCGCGAGTGCCGCGACCACGGTCCGGCTTTCCCCGCCTTCGCCGCGCCTTTCCCCTCCTCCTCTTTCGGTTTTGCATCTTTTTTACAAACGCCCGAATCGCCGCTTATGTTTTTGGGCTCAGGTTTTCGCGCCGACACACTTTCGTCTTCTTTTCGTTCACTTTCTTTTCGCGATCTTTCCTCGACTTCGCCGCGGACATCCGGACAAACCTCTCCTCCGTTTTGCGTCACGTCACGTTCTTCTTTCTCCTCTTCGGTGGACATTTTAGAAACCTCTGCGTTTTCGCCAAAAATCGCCGCGGAATCTTCGACCGGACCGGCGCTCGTTTGCGCAGAGCTGTTCTCTTCTCCCTCCTCGTCTTTCTCCTTCTCTCCGTCGCTCTCTTCCTCCTCCGCCGACCCTCCGTTGTCCTCGGCTTCCGCGGCAGCTTCGTAGTAGCTCCGTATTTTCTCGATGATCTTTTTGTCGCGTTTTCGCCGCGTGGAACCTCGCGTTAATCCGTCCCTCCGTCGTACTTTCGGCTCCTCGTCGACCAAACACCTCTCAGCGTCTTTGTTCAACTTTTCTACTTCAGTTTTCGCCTCTGAACTTTTCGTTTCTTCGCAAATTTTATCGTCAGCGCTTTCTGGAATCGTCTCTTGGATCGTTTGTCCAACAGGAGATTCTTCTTCTTCGAAAACAGCGGCGTTTTCGGGTTTAGTTTCGCGCTGGTCGCCGTTTTGCTCCACGTCCTCCTCGTTCGTTTTCTCGGTTTCCGTCTGCTCCTGGTGCGTCGTCGGTGGATTCTCCGGCTCGGTTGCAGCTGCAGGTGTGTCCTCCAGGTGCATCGTGGGTAAAGTGTCCTGGTGCATCGTGGGTTTCTCCTCCTGGTGCGTCGTGGGTGGCGGTTTGGGGCTGCCTGGCGAGGCCATGGGAGGCAGGGGGCAGGTGAAGTTTGAGCATCCGGTTTTGTTTTGGTTCATTTGTAACTCCTGGAACAAAATGTGAAAAAATTGTAAAAGTTTCTGAGCAAAATGTCCAGCTCCAGAGCAGATTTATCGTTCTGATACTGATGCTAACTGAAGGCTCTGCTCTGTCTGAAGCTCTGTTACTCAAATTAGAACTTCGATTTAACACAATGGGACCAGAAAGAAGTGACTTATGTGAACTAGAAGAGGAGATATGAGCTGATGTTACGGTCGTCAACCGTCTGGAAAAACAGAATCGTCCTGTGCTCAGAAACAAAAGTCTGTGTCTCGTATTGAGGTGAAAAGAGACGCACTTTGTCCCACACAGTGTTGGGGAGTAACAGATTACATGTACCAGAGTCAAGTAATCAGAGTACTGTGAGTAACTGTATTGAGCTACAGTTACTGTTCCAATGAGTGGTAATTGGATTACAGTTACTTTATTGAAATAAATGGATTACACAGCGGTATTTTAAACCAGGTCTAAAACTAGGACTAAACCAGAACTAAACAGAACCAGAACAATTTGAAGAGAACATTCATGTTGTTTTAAAAAAACTGACAATATCAAGTAATCCAAAGTATTCAGATTACATTACTCACTTTCAGGGATTTAATGTAATGGATTCTGTTACAAACTACATTTTGGTGTGTGAAATCTGTGAATCTGTAGGGGAAAACATTTTAAAAATAACCTTCCCAACACTGGTCCCATATCACCACGAGAATCAGAAATAGTGTCATCGATGGAACGACGCTTTATCAGAACATTTACAGTAAATATATTTTCAGTGTCTCCTGCTCTGTGACATGAACTGACAGCACAAACGCCCGCTCATCATCTCATTGGTCTCGGGGGCTTCTCTCCGAGCCTCCGCGGGTCCGAGCCTCCGCGGCTCCGAGCCTCCGCGGGCTCCGAGCCTCTTCTGTGATTTACAGATTTGAAATTAAAAAAGGTCTGTATTACCCTGCACCATGTCCAAGTTAAAAATGGTTTTGTTCAAGGCAGCATATTAAGAAAAACAGTTTTCGCAGCAGAAAGAAGAATCTTACATCTTCCAAAAAACATGCCACGTTACAGTTCTGGTTGTGGAGGGGGTGGGGTTTTGTGGAGGGTGGGCTGGTTGTTGGGGGGGTGGGGCTGGAGTTGGGGGGTGGGGCTGGTTGGGGGGGTGGGCTGGTGTTGGGGGTGGGGCTGGTTGTTGGGGGGGGTGGGGCTGGTGGGAGGTGGGCTGGTGGGGTTGGGGGTTGGGGGGTGGGCTGGTGTTGGGGGGGGTGGGCTGGTTGTTGGGGGGGTGGGCTGGTGTGGGGGGTGGGGCTGGTGTTGGGGGGGTGGGGCCTGGTGTTGGGGGGCTGGTTGTTGGGGGGGGGGGGCTGGTTGTTGGGGGGTGGGGCTGGTGTTGGGGGGGGAGGTGGGGGGGGGTGGGGCTGGTGTTGGGGGGTGGGGTGGGCTGGTTGGGGGGTGGGGCTGGTGTTGGGGGGGTGGGGCTGGTTGTTGGGGGGGGGGGGCTGGGTTGGGGGGTGGGGCTGGTGTTGGGGGGTGGGGCTGGTTGTTGGGGGGTGGGGCTGGTGTTGGGGGGTGGGGGTGGTTTGGGGGGGTGGGGCTGGTGTTGGGGGGGGTGGGACTGGTGGGGGGGTGGGGGGGGGTGGGGCTGATGCCCCTGACACTCGACCCCGGATAAACAGAAGAAAATGGATGGATGGAAAATGCTCTTTAAACTTTGAGTCGATCTTAAAACTTTTCTGTGTTCAGTGTTTGCGAATGTTTGCGGTGTGTCGCCGTGGTAACTGCTGAACATTCATTTTATTGTCTGAGAATCAGGAAGTGCTCGCTCTGATTGTTATTGTTATTAATGTTCAGATTAAGATTTAAAGACAAAAATAGTGAAATAAAAATCCCGGGATCATGTAGATCGACTTCACATCAACATCCTGTCCCTGTCGCTCTCACCTGTCCGCTCTCCGTCTGCTCCTGTCGCTCCCGGTCCTGGTGCAGGTCCTGCCTCAGGTCCCGGTTCAGATCCAGGTCCTGGTCCTGGTTCTGGGTCTGGGTCTGGTTGAGGAGCTGGAGGATCTCTTCGGTGATTGACAGTGAAGTGGGCGGAGTCACGAGCTCCTCCTCCTCAGGATCCTACAACACGAGACGTTACATAACTGTTATTTAAAGCCCCAGTACGGAACATTTTGGTCATTTTTGCTTGATAAAGTAAAAGTAAGTAAGTCTTTATTTATGTAGCACCTTTCACAGACTAAAAAAAACAAAAAAACAACATGAACAAGAAGAGAGGAACTACGCCGTCGACTAAACGTTTGTCTAAGTTTGTTTTTTGAACAGGAGGCGTGAACATAAACCTGCTGTGTCTCTTTTTAAACTCCAGTCGTGTTTTGTACAAGTTGCAGCTGTTTAAGTGTCGAAACTTCAAAACAAGTAAAAAGAAAATTCCACAAATCAAAGACTGAACAAACATTTCAAGATCAGCGTTTGATAAAATTGGTTTGAATTAGTCTCGTTCTGTAACTGATAAAAACATTTGGCTGCAGCGTCTTAAATCTGTGTGTCATTTATTCATTTGTTTTACAATATAAAACCAAAAATAAGAAAATGAAAAAACAACAGTTTTCTTCATTATTTGTCTCCAAAACCAAAATGAAAAAACAGATAATGATTCGTTTTTTCAGTTTCTGATTTTGTGTTTAAACAAAAAATGGGGAAAAAAAACAGATAATGACCGAATACAGACTGAACCAGGACTAATCCAGGTCTGGGACCAGAGCAGGACCAGACCGGGACTGAGACCGAGAACAGAGCAGGACCAGAGTGGACTCAGCTTTAAGCTCCGGCCCTGCCGTGGGCCCTGAGCCTCCGGTCTGGTCCCGGTCTCAGTCCTGGTCTGGTCTCGGTCTGATCCTGGTCTGGTCTCAGTCTTGGTCTGGTCCCGGACCTGGATCAGTCCTGGATCAGTCCTGGTTCAGTCCTGGTTCAGTCCTGGATCAGTCCTGGTTTAGTCCTGGTTTAGTCCTGGTTCAGTCCTGGTTTAGTCCTGGTTTAGTCCAGGTTTAGTTCAGGTTTAGTTCTGGTTTAGTCCAGGTTTAGTCCAGGTTTAGTCCAGGTTTAGTTCAGGTTTAGTTCTGGTTTAGTCCAGGTTTAGTCCAGGTTTAGTCCAGGTTTAGTCCTGGTTTAGTCCAGGTTCAGTCCTGGTTTAGTCCTGGTTTATTCTTTGTTTAAACCTGGTTTAGTCCAGGTTTAGTCCAGGTTTAGTCCTGGTTTAGTCCAGGTTCAGTCCTGGTTTAGTCCTGGTTTATTCTTTGTTTAAACCTGGTTTAGTCCAGGTTTAGTCCAGGTTTAGTCCTGGTTTAGTCCTGGTTTAGTCCTGGTTTAGTCCTGGTTTAGTCCAGGTTTAGTCCAGGTTTAGTCCAGGTTTAGTCCTGGTTTAGTCCTGGTTTAGTCCAGGTTTAGTCCTGGTTTAGTCCAGGTTTAGTTCAGGTTTAGTTCTGGTTTAGTCCAGGTTTAGTCCAGGTTTAGTCCAGGTTTAGTCCAGGTTTAGTCCTGTTTTAGTCCAGGTTTAGTCCT